CTCACAGCTGGGAGGACACCGCCAGTCCCAGCACCAGCTTGTTTGCTCTCACTGACAAATGATTTGCAGATCCCAAAGCCATTTAGTCCGGGCACAAAGCATCGAGGGCCTGTGGCTGGGGCTGAGGCGCTCCAGGAGCCAGGCAGAGGGCAGCTGTGGCAAACTTTGCTTCCAGGCACGTGGTTCTCACTTGACTTCCTCCACTGGCAGCTCACAGCCAGCTTAACACTCTCCAAGAGGAGCGGTGAATTCCTGCCCGTGCCAAGGACTCCATCCAGAAAAGGCTTTTTTTCCTCCCCTGACGCCGCTCATTAATTTTGTTTTGCTGTTTTTTTGTTTTTTTTTTTTTTTTTTTTTTTTTTTTTTTTATTTTTAAAAAGCTTTTGCTGGCTTCTCAATTAGGAGAGGATTAAAAAAGCAAAAGAAGGAAAACTTGAGGCACAGAGAATTCAGCTGGGTCCCTCGTGGGGGCAGTGGGGATTGCTGAGACACCAAACCCTTTCTTGGTGACAATGTGAGCAACCAGGCCACCACGTCCTCACCTCCCTCCTCCTTGTGCCAGCATAATTCATGCTGTGCCTTGCCTGCATTGAAAAATCAGCAATAAAATCATGCAGGAACCCCAAGCTGGATCAATTTATTTCAATATTTCTGACACAGCTCCTGCAGGAGCCGCGGAACCAACAACAATTTCCAACCAGAGAGTCAGTGAGATGTTGGGCATAAATTACCCTGAAATGCCACAGATAACAAGGCTGCACTCAGGAAGGTTCCTCTCTGTTTTACTCACATTGGAAATGCTCCAAGACGGCAAAGTGATGTAGGAACATCAGGGCAGAACCTTTCCAAAGGAACAGAGGTGATTCCTCCACTGATGCTGTGGGGATGGAACTGGGGTACCCAACCTCAGAGCTTTGTTTTCCTCCCTCATCCCCCATCTCTGCAGCTCTGAGGCCAAAGCACGTGTCTAACGAGTGAAAATCAGAATATTGATGTTCACCTTTCAGGGAGTAGTTGGATGTGCCACTTCCAATGAGGAAGGGTATTAATTTCAATGCTCGTAAGAGCCGTCTGAGACAGTTTCCATCATGATCACAGAGCTTTCTGCTGGCAGCCAAGACCAAAGAGTAGATTTTTCTTTTATCATTTGCAAAAAGACAAATACACCTTGTACTCCTGCTCTTGTCGAGCAGATTTCCAGCTGCAGTTCATCACTTCTTCCCACTCCTCTACAGCCGGAATCCCTCTCAAATCCTGTTTGGAGCAGTGATTTTGGTAAATAATCTGCTAGGGGTATTCCCTTCAGTTCAGCCCATACACAACCATTCTAATGGCTCAAATCAGGATTCCCCATGGTGCAGCAGTGACTAATTGCATCTCCAGACACTCCCCTGCTTCAAGCCTGACTACTGATTGCAAGCACCTCGTTAGTTTGCTCCCCCAGTCCTACTGATGGCCTGGGAAGTGGGTAAAGCTGGCTGCACACCCCATCAGGTGGGACAGGAACCCCAGCTCAGGAGTGGGAGGGCACCCAGGGGGTGCCACCCTGAAAGGGCACACACCCTCTCTTTCTTGGCACTTGACAAAATTTATGTGCAGAAGGAAAAAAAGGCTGGAGCAGGGGCTGCAGTAACGACACGGATGGGCTGCAGTAACGAGCTTTTCCAAAAATATCTCTCCTTGGTCAGAGATGCTCTATTTTTAGAGCTCCAGAGTATCACACTGACAAGCAGCGGGGTCAACGTGTACCTTTAAACTTCCAAAATGCCTTTGGCCTTGCACAAACACCTTGCTGTTCCAGCTGGATATCAAACATAGCAACAGACGCCTCTGGTGCGTGTGGCCAGCAGACCTGGCTGTCACCTGGAGGGGCAGCTCAGATGTGACTGGGCACTGTCTGTCCCATGGATCACCAACACCTTTACCCTGAGCAGCTGACACAGGTCTGTGAAAAAAAATTAAATCTGTGACTGAAAACCCCACAATAAAACCTCCAAGTGGGGAATTGCCATTCTGTGGTTTTTGTATCAAAGATGTTGGCACTCAGGTCAAGAAGACTCCCTGGGTGTCTGGATCCTTTCCCCTGCTCCAGCAGATGCAGCAGAAAAGGGCAGGTCCATAAAATTCACCGTGGATCTGAGAGCTGCTCGACAGCAATGGAAATAGGGAAGATAACAGTCAGAGCTGTAGGACTGCTGTGTCTGCATAGTGAGCTGAGAACATAGGGTGTAAAATTAAAAATCCAACAGTCCTATTGTTAGGAATAAAACCCCTGTCATTTGCATGTTAAAACACCTCGACTTACAGCAGCAATTTCTCTCTTTAACTTTCCTGGTTTACCCAGTTCCCAGGATGAATAATGCAATGGAACTCCACAGCAGCCACACAAATGAAAAAATTCAATAGGACTCCTTTTTCCTCTCTAAACCTACACGCCTTCTGCAGGAAGCCTTTCCACTGAGACATGGAAATCCCTGCTGCTAATGCCTCTGAAAGAGCTTTTTAACAGAGAAGGCTGGGGAGGAGCTGCCAGCCCCAGTGATAAACCCTGTTTGCCCAAATCCCAGCACAGCCTCTGCAGAGTCATGTTAACCAGACCTTGCATCGCTTCCTTTAGGAATAAGCAAATTAGCTCATGGGGGAAAAAAGATTATCGTCAATGCAGGCCTGACATCTGGAAGCAGATTACATCAAATTTGAATAATCTAGGTGACATTTCAATTTAAATTGTCCTCGCGTCTGAAGAGGAAGGAGAATTAAGTGCGAACTCATCGATCGAGTTGCTGCTGCTGCAGTGAGCATCCCCAGACCCAGCAGGGACAGAGTGCCCACCCTGCTGCTGCACCCCTGCATGCCCCCCACCCCACCGTGGCTTTGCTCACCAGTTCTGCCCCTTCCTCACCCACTCCTGTGTTTTCTCAAACTGCAGGAGCAGCTCCGCTGCCGTCTGGGGGGAAACGATGTCCCCAAGGGGAAAGGGTGGTGCTCTTTGTGGCAGGGACATGGTGTGCCCAGAGTCCATCCCATTATCACTCATTCTGGGAGATATTCCTGCCTTTTCCTCTACCACCAACTCAGACTCAGAGGGAAACACAGCTTTCCCAGAGCGTGGAGACTTGGCTTTGTGAGGAATAGGAAGGCCATGGAGAGAAAGGGCATGGAGGCACCAAGGAGCAGCTCAGACTCTGGCAAGGGGATTTAAAACCTCACCCTCTGCCATCTGAGCAGCTTCCTCTGCAGCTGAGCTCGGCTGCTGCACCCACTCACACAGTCCTGCTGATCCTGCTCCACAGCTGGGCATTGTCACCTCCCACTGCTGCCTGACAGGGTCTGGGGCTGGGCAGGGATTTTCAATGTGAAAAGGGACCCACACATACAATTACATGGATTAATTTGGGTTCCATGTCCATTAACCCACAGGTAAGTGATCTTTGTGTAGGTGTTTTATGTAACTTGGTCACCTGAAGTAACAATCCTCCTCTTGTTGGGATTTCCCAGCATTTAGTACTTTTAATGTTTATTATGCAGAAATCTTCCACCAGCCTCAGTGCAAACACCTCACTGGCTTTAACCAGCACCTATTTACAGGAGTGTATCGTGGTCCTGGCATGGGTCAGAATGATGTGACCAAGATTTTTGAAAGCAGCACCACACCAGTGTGGAGGAGCCACCTTATCATTGCTGTCACCTCCACAGAGACACCTCAAGGACACAGCAAGACCTGACCTGAGCCTCCCCACAGCTGACAGTGCAAAACAGTTCACTGCCACAGCACATCTCAGTGCCTGGGGTGTTGGGAATCCCAGCAAAAGTGAGAAACTCCTTTTGCAGGAGGTTCAGGGCCAGAGGCCCTGGCTGTGCTGCACACCAGCACTGCTCCAGAAACAGGCGTTTTCTACCAATGCAAATTTTTTGCTTGCATTAGAAAATAAAATAATTTCCATTTATACATGTTAAACAAGAATTTCAAAAGCGTATAATGCAGCTAATGCTTCCAGGCTGTGTGCAGGCATCTGGAGCTGCAGATGAGGGTGTCTGCTGCACCGCTGGATCCCAGCCCACAGCTGGCCTCTCCTATCCCCTGCTGCGGCCTGGCCTCCAAAGCTCATCACTTAAAATGTGAAAAGCATCTGGGCTCCTGAGCCCCTCCTGCCCAGCCACCCGTGGCAGCAAAAGGGTGGGTCTGCTCAGCGGTGAGACCAAAGCTCCCTCATTAACAAGCTGTTAAATTATTAATAAGTTTATATGTAATTTCTTCTGTGTACATAATCTCACATTTTTCAGAAAACTATCATCGCTTTTCACTTAGTTCCACTTGAGGAAACAACAGCTCCTGCTTTCACTTGATCAGATGAATATTTATGTTGAGCTTGTTCTGTCTGGGGCTGAGGAAAACCAGATTATTTGGCTTCTCAGTGTGGGGAAGGTCGGTGTTGGGCACGGCAGGTGCTTGGCTGTCACTAGTGCCCCTCGACGTCCCACCCCAGCTAATGGGTCTCCAAAGTGCCTGAAAATTTGGCCAGAGAAACTGTTGATGTTGTCCCATCCCTGGAAGTGTTCCAGGTTGGATGGGGCTTGGGGCAACCTGGTCTGGTGGATTGTGCCATTACCATAAACATGAGACCAGGAGTGCTCATCTGCTCCACCTTGGAGGAGCATCCCTCACAAAAGCCCAGCTGCCCAGTGCTGTCATCATTCATCCACATGCTGCTGAAATGAGCCACCAGTGAAGGGGCTGTTGGAGTGTTTTAGGTGTGAGGAGTCAGCAAACAGGAGGGTTTCAGGGAAGCTTTGCTCCCTTGGGAGTGGTGAAGGTGGCTGGCTCCCTCACAGGGTGCAGATCCGTGCCTGTGGAATGATGTGACTTGATGCTGTGGCAGCTCAATGTCAAAGCAGCCCGAGCTGAACAGAAACCTTTTGATCTCAGAATATCCCTCCCTTGCTGTAATGTCACAAATTTGTGGCTTGCTGCTCCTCAGCTTCCATGCCTTGACAAGTCCTTCGGCAGCCTCAGCTTGCTGTGGAAACCAAATATTTTGACTCTGCTGTTTATTCCCGGTTTTTAAAGTGTGTTCTGAGTGAATAACAAATATGTTTTGTGAGGCAGCTGGTGCTTCTTCCTGTAACGTACAAGGTAAGGGAGAAACAAACATATTTGCTTTTGCTCCGTCTATTTATCCAACAATTGTAGCTGCTGTTTTAACGGCACAAAAATGTAATTACCGCACGCGTTCTCACCAGCCCTAATTAGCAGCATGCTTAAGCATACACTTAGAGACACTGCAGCTCCATTACAGCATTCCTGTGGGATCATCAGGGACCGATGGGGCCTTGCCCTCATGGGTCACCTTGTGCTGATTGAGTGGTGACATTTGGGCACCTTGAGATCCTGGGAATTTTTTCCTGTAGGAATCCCAGACACTGAGAGCTGCATCTTCCCAAAGACCATTGCATGTGGGAGAACACCAAAGGGATCCAGCACAACAGGCAGTAATGGAGCTTTACAGAAGGTCATGTCCCTCACTTGTCTGTAATCGAGGCTTTGCTAATCCAGGAGATTTTTTATCTTTTCTCCTTTTTTCCCTTTGTATTGGCAGTAACAGTAGCTCAGTGAAAGCATCATTAACGTAATTAAGTGAGCAATTTGCTTATTAACAGATTGCAACCTTTTCAACAAACTTTGCTGGGTTTTCTCTTTTTAAACGCCAGCTCATCGTGCTCGGGGAGGAAAGGCTGCTGTGAAGAGGGGGTGAGCTGTGTATCCCAACCTCTGCTCTATCAACAGGACACATCTCAAGCTCAGTCCCCAAGGCTGAGTCTGCTGCCAGTTCTGGAGCTGCCAACCCCCTCATGGCAGATTTCCTGGCTGGGGCTCCAGGAACACTGCTGTGGAGCAATGGGTAAGCTGCTCTCTCCTCTCACCCCCAGGGATAAGAACCACTGGGGCTGATGAGGCAAGATATGAACAGCTCTGACATCACTGGATAGAGTTAAAGACTCCTGGGAGAGTTTGCCATAATTTTTCACTGTGCATTCAGGAAAAACAGCTTGTGCCCAGGAGACATATCTCTCGTCCAGAATCCATCCCACATTGCCCTTCCCTGCTCTCATGTAGACTAGTCTTTTGTTTTCTTTCTGTTTTCTCAGTGTGCTCCAAAGCAGGTGTAAGAGAAGCCAAGAGTGGTTCCTTTGCCCCGTGTGAAGCAGGTTGATGCTTATTCTAGAGTCTGTGCTCTCAACAGCTCATCCCAATGGGAATCTTCCACCTTTCTCACCAGAGAAAAGCACTCGGTGTTTCCCCGGGGCGGTTTTCCCTTCTGCACTGCTCAGTTGCCTGGATATCTTACACTGCGGTATTAAAAAACATGGATAATTATTACTGTTCACCAGCATAATAGTTTCAAGGATCAGCATCCCTACTTTTCACAAGGAACACATCCCCAGGCAGTCGCCTTTGCATATGAGTGCACAAAAAAAGTTCAAGTGAGAAAAAACCCCTATCAGCAAAGCACATTTATAGAGATGAATTATTTGGAAAATTTCTGAGCATCCAAATTCTTCGCAGCAGATTTGAATAACAGAATTCTGAGCAACAAGTTCATTTTGACCCTCTGGGCTAAAAAGTTATAATTAGCGCAGGCACCATAAAACTGGCTTTTAATTAAATCAGCCTCGGAAGAGAGGGAGCTCTGCAAGGTCCCTCCCTCGCTTACATAAGGCAGCTGGCCTGAGTGGCCACCGTGGGGATGCTGTGGCACTCCGAGCCTTCTGCAGGATTTTCCAGAGAGGGAAAAACATAAATGGGGAATGGGGGAAGTGGGGAGCCCACAGCCAGCCCCAGATCTCACCCAGTCGTGGGCCAAGGAGTGATTGCTGCTGCAGGAGCTGCAAGGAGGGTTTGTGTGGGTGAGTTGAGCTGCGTTTCTGGGTCCGTGGTTTTGGTGCCAGCAGTTCAGGGCAGCCCCAACACCCACAGCTTGTGCTGGACATGGGTGCCTCCCCAGCAATCCCAACTCATGCTGGGAGCTCAGAGGCCACCGGTTGTGCTTTGAAGCCAGAGCAGCCTGGCAATCTGTCCTGCTGCCGTTGCTGGTATGATAATGGGCTGAGTGTATTCCCAAAAAGCATATGCTGCGGTGCCGAGCGTGGCAATGCCAGTCTCACAGTTGTCTCTTTCTTTGCACTTTCAAAAGGCTGTAGGAAACGGTGACATATGGCACCCCAGCGTGTGGTGGTTTCATCGACACAGGTAAGGCCAGGGAGAACAGAGCTGAGTGGCATTCCCCAGGGAGGATGCCTGTCCTGGTCCCACCACGATGCTCTGGCTGCCTCCCATGCCCACCAGGCACCACGTCTGGTGGGTGTGTGTGCTGCCAGTGCCAGCCCAGAGAAGTTTCAGCCCCGTGCTGGCACTGGGTGGATCAAATGAGTCAATTAACAGGCGCCTCCCCGTCAACGCCAGAGCTGAACTTCTAGTTCTGCAAACATATAATTAAAGCACAGTCTCACAATTATAAGATTCTCTTCCAGTTGAGCGAAGGCGGAGGGCTGGCAGGTGCTGGAGTCAATCCAATTGTTTCCACTTGCTCTCCTTTCCTCGGATGTGTGGCACAGCCTGGGCACGGGGGTGAGGCAGGGAGGGTGGTGAGGCTGAGGGTAGAGCTGAGATGCCCTGGCAGAGGCTGCACCAGTGCCTGGAGTGGGTGCTGATCCGGGCTCTGGATGTGGGAGTGCTGAAGGCAGCGCTGTGGCTGACAGAGCCTCAGGAAGGATGATTGAATCATGACAGACTCTGGTGCTGTCACAGGATGATTGAAGTCATGAGCAGTTTCAGGAGTCAGCGTTGGGAGTGGAGCTGTGCTGGATCAGGAGGGGCAGAGAAGGCTGTCGGCACAACTACCTTGTGTAGCCGGGAAAGAAAATGCTGCTATTTTCCCTTAATACCCAAAATTATCTGCAAATGCCTCTGCTATCATGTTCTATAAATATTGGCTGTTCCCAAAGCCTGCTGCTCAACAGCCCTCCCCAAGCCCACTTTCCCCTTCAGACCATGCACTGAATCACACTGTTCCCTCCCCAGGGGTGACAAAAGACCATGGCAGGAACACCAACACCCAACTCGTCGTGCCAGACCTGGAGACAGAAACCTGGAAAAGTGCCAAACACGGAGGACACGAAGCACCATGGACCATGGGAATGCATCCATCTCTAGGAAAGCACCCAGGGGATGATGGACACCCCTCAAAGCCTGCTTGGATAAAAGGAAAAAATGGTTTTCATCCCTGTGCTGAGCCAGAGAGAACTCATTGAAGCTGGGTGGCAGTGGGAGGGCATCAGCACTGCAGCCAAACCTGGAGCAGCCACAAGAGCAGCCAGCCAAGTGTGGGTGGGAAACATCACCTCCAGAGACCAAACCCACTGCTGTCCCAGAACAGCTTGAAGATCCAAGGGGAAGGGCACAGTGGGGATCCCCCCCAAAATCAGACTTTTTCCTGGCATGGTTTTGGGGGAATATTGGATTATTTTGGGGGAATATTGAATATTAAGGCTCTGACCCACCTCCACAGGCTCAAACCCACCTCCGTACCTGTGTGGGCTGCTCAAACTGTGATGCTGGAAAAGCCAGCAGAGAAAATCTTAACCACGCCAACCTCTTTCCATGCCCTTGTCCCTTCTCCAGGGGAACAATCACTGCTGAGGATCATTGCCAAAATTAGTTCCTTTAAGATCTGAGGGATCTTTCTGCTACTGCACTGAGCAGTGGGAGTGAGCCCATAAATCCAGTTAGTCACAGTCGCTGGATTACATCGGACCTTGTCCTTCTGCCTTTAATAACACAATTGTTTGCTGCATAAGGAGCTTTATGTAACTGGGAATCAGGGGTGATCCGCTGCACTGCCCAGGCTGGAGCTGTCAACCCTCCCTTCTCTCTGGGCTTGTGTGAACCTCCCGCTGCCAGGCAATATCTGAGAAATAAATAACCTCCTTGCTGTGGCAGTGAAAGGTCTGACTCCAGCCCACTGCGGCGGTGCCCTTGGCACAGGATTCCAGTCTGATAACACACGGGTCAGTACCAGAGGTGGTGCAGGGGTGAAATTACCCCTGGAAGATCTTTCCCATCCCGCACTTCTCCCTTGAGGACAGCCCTCAGGTGCAAGGGGAGATATTTAGGCTCAGCCCTGGTGCCAGGCAGGAGACCACCATGCCCCAAAGCCACCAAGGCTGTTTGGGGACAGCAGTTACCAGCTCCTTCATCTATGAAGGGCAAGGACTGGGAGGCAAAGGCACCGGGCCTGCAGCCTGCAGCATGCACAGTGGTCTCGCCCAGCACCATTAAATCTCTGTTTTATTGCAACAGAGCAACCTTTGCACTCCCCCTATGCTCTCTGCATCCCTTTTCCCTCTCCATCTTTTTAAATGACTCTGCCAAGCAGTGCCTGCATAGCTGAGGCCATGCACTGGTGCTGGCAGATGGGCAGCATCATTAACGTCTCTAGCAGTGAGTGGCGTCATTTTGGGTGAAGAGCTGCTCTTTAAGGACGAGTTTGGAGACTTGACACATCAGCACGAGTCTGAAACTCCTTTACAGTTTTCCAGTGATGTGGCTGTGCCCCTTTCCCAGGCAGCTGGGATGTGGCTCCTGGCACAGGCACCACTCCCCTCACTGGACCAGGTGAGCAGAAAGCTCTGGCATGTGAGAGAATTTGCATTTGAGCATGGGCAGATTTAATCCTCACACAGAGTTTATTTGTTTATTATCTTCTGGTTTACCTATCAAGTGCTGCAAAGTGAATGTACAGCCTTTTTGTCATGCCACCACCCTGCCTAACTCCCAGGGCCAGCTCGTCCGTCCGACAGCAGGGCAGCATTATTCATGCAATTAGGGAAAGGAAGGCAGGTGAAGCTGTCAGAACAGCTTGCAGGGGAAACTTCAGAAAAACACAGGAAAAACACTGGCTTAGCCTCATCCAGCTACTGGAGGGACTGCTTTCCCCCCAAGCCTGGGTGTCCCCCAAGCTCCTTCCACCTACCATGGCTTTGTGTCTGCCCCACAACCTCACTGGTAGATGCAGCAATGGATTCTCTGGACAGTGTTCACTGGCTTATCCAGTGGCCAAGACACAAACTCTGAGCTCCCTGGTGAGGTACCTGTGGGTGGCACAGAGGAGCACTGGCTGATCCCCAAAACCTGGCAGGGTGAGAGCTGGTGGCTCCAGAGGTGGTCGCTGGTGCCAGCTCCTGACAGTGCAGCACACCCTTGGCACTGTCATCACACCCCGAGTGAGACTTGCTGGATAAATAAATATTCCAGAGACGCTCCAGGTCATGCATTTTTCATGAGTTTGTTCTGCTATTGGGAGCCGCACCCTTTAAGAAGATTGGATGCATGTGGAACAGAAGTCATTTTTATAGTGAATAATTCGCTTGAAAAGCTGACTCTGAATATCTCAGAGCAGGAAACACATCTCCCTGGAATGATTCTGAGGGTCAGGTGTGCCCCATGGCTCTGCCCAAGGAGAGCTGCTCTCCTGGCTGCAAAATCCAGCAACTCCTGAAGGAAAAACACACTGAAGCAGGAGTTTTGTGTAGATTCCAGGAGCTTTTGGGGAAAGGCACGGACCCTTCCCAGCCTGGGGGCTGGCTTGGGTGACTCACTCAGTGCTGCCAGAGCTGGGTCCATGTGGATACACAGTGAGAACTTTGGGATCCTGGTGAAACAGCCAGCACAGTATTTATAATTGTGCTGGGTTTCGACTTTGGATTTCGATATTGATGGAGTCTGCGCCTCCAAGCAAAGAGCGCTAATTAGCACCCGCAACAGAGAGCCAGCTTTTAATTAAACACAGCTTAGCGAGGGGGACTTGTCAGAGACACCGTGCCACGTGTGAGATGACGTGGGCAGGGGGATTTCGGAGCAGGGCTGAGTCTGGCAGGGCACAAGGCACTGGGATGGGGATCCTGCAGTGGGACAGGGTGTGGGATGTGCAGCTGCGCTGCCAGGGCCAAGCAGAGCCTCAGGGTTCCCAATGCCTCCTCCACCAAGAGCCATCCCATTCCTGTCACTGCAAATAACCAAACAAGCTGCACGGAGAAGAGAATAATATTAATATTTAAAAGGCATTTATACTTTTAATCAAGCTTTGGGGGGAAAAGACAGCTTAACACGGCACTTTACACAGTTGATAAAATGTTTGACATTTACTGGTGCCTGTAATGAATCTTGTCTCAATTTTCTCTTTTAAAATGCCACTCCAGATACTCTATCTATCTGTAGGGTTTAAAAAGCACTTATCCAACAAAGCATTATCACGATGGAGGATACAAAAGGGCGTCTTGGCAGAGTAGCACCGGCTCCAGGGTTTGCTGGCACCCAAGCAGGCCCTGTGTGGGATGGGCAGAGGAGGGAGGATCAGCGTGGCCCCATGGCCCTGCTGCAGCCCTGCCCACCAAAACACCTCCGTTTTCCCACTGGTCACAGCTCAGAACATGAGGCTCAGCTGTCGACAATGCCTGGGATACAGCAAACCCAAATACTCAGGAGGCAGAGCAGGCTGAAAGTTTGCTTTGTCCCAGAAGAACAGACCTTGGCTGCCAGTGCTGCCCATGGCAGGACAGTGCAGGGGCTCTGGGTGTTATCAGGGAACCACAGTTCTCCTGTGCAAACAGAGCTGCTACTCCACGGGCGATGATCCAAGGAGCATTCCTGCTCCTCCTCTGGAAGGACATTGCAGAGGGAAGTATCAGCAGAGAGCACAGGCAGCTGCTGGCCTGGACTTCCCTTTGAACAACCACTCCAATGTCCTTTGCTTCTCCCTTTTTTCTTTACTTTTTTCAGAGGAAAGAAATGAATTATTCTATGGAAGTTAGTGCCTGTCTCAGGAGCCTGGTATAGAAAATTAGGTTTTAATAGCTTTGAAATTGAAGCTCTTTGGGTCAATAGGACAAGATTCAGACAGTGAAATCACAGGCCCATAAAGGGAAAAAAAGCAAATATTTTGTTAGTCATCAGAGAGTCACAGTCCAAAGATAGCAGGCAGGAGATTAAAATACTGCTGTGCTCGTCAGCTCCTGAAGTGTTTAGTCATAAGCTCCTTTTTTCTCTTGTTGTCTTTCTATATATTAGCTTTGGGAATGCAGAATTTGGCTTTCCGTCCTTGGACGTGCCTGGGAATTCCTCAAGTCACCGCTGGAATTGGAAAGTTTACTTTGAGCTAAAAGCACTGTACAGTCTGTGAGGTAACGCAAAGAGAGAAGCCACCAACTCAGGCAGCACTTCACATCACACAGGATGGAGAACTTCCAGAGCAGCTCTGTCAACAGGCTCTGGAATTATTTGACTCATTATTAAAGGGATGAATGGATTATAATTATTCCTAATTTCCTATTCAGAGCTCATTACCACCCTTAAGAAGGGTAGGTGGGGAGCCCTTGAGATCCGGCAAGTTACTTTAAATATTCATACGGCTGAGAGAAATTTCTCATGGTTTGGAGCTGTGATGGGGAAATGGGCCAGATGGGCTGGGAGGCTTCTGCCCCATGGCCACTGCTCCCCAAGGGAGCCCACAGAGAGCAGCACCAGCCCAGAGCTCAGAGCTAATTCACTGTTAAGGGATCACCCAGTGGCAAGCAGGAGATGGACACCTCAGTGTTTTACCCAGGCCACTCACTGCTTTGTGGCTATCCCAGGTTTTAGCTGCAGTGAGGTGAGGCAGTGGAAGGCCACGGGATGAGATGAGGTTCCTGGTGAGAGCTGCTGTCCTCTGACAGGGGCTGATGGCACACGAGGCACCCCAAATGTCGCCTACAGCGCACACACCCCTAACATGTGGAAATGTCATATTGTTTCACCCAACTTCTGTCCTCCAATCAGTGCCCAATTTCCTTCCAAGGATAAAGCCATCCGTTATTTTTGGCTGCCCACTCCAGCTCAGGGCACTCTCATTCTCCCCCGTGCACTCAGAGGACAGACGCTTCCCGCGACTGCCTCAGAGCAAAACAAAACAAGCACATTCCTAATGGCTGGCAGAGCACATAGGAAATATATTAAATGTATTAACTTTGGCACTTGCTGGGTCTCGGGAGGAGCTCTTGGAGCTGCTCCTGTGCCTCACCTCTGCTCCCCCAGCTCCTTTATGCTCTCCCCTTCTGCTGGGAAATTTCCCTGTCCCCAAACTGCAGCTGCCTGGAGGTCACCGACATTCGCCAGCAGCTCGTCTGTGACCCCTGGGAGTGGCCCAGACCCACGAGACGAGGCTGGCAGATGGCACTCAGCCATCCCGTGCCACAGAGCAGCTGAGCCAGG